CGAAACAATTCATAAGTATTTCTACTTTTCTTTGCTACAAAAGACAAACTCTATGGGAAAACGCTTAAGATTTTCGTGGCGCTTAACGTGTTAAATTTCAAACATTCGTTTCTTATCATTTTACCCTTCTCCCTATCTCCCGTTCTTTATGGACAGCTTTGAATCGATCGATCAACGCCGTGTACTGCTCGTGCAACGAGGAGACCTCCGGATCGTTCAAATACTCGCCGGGGACTTCCACCTAATTACGGGATCCAAGTTTATAATCTCATTAGAGGAGAAGCGCAAATTGTAATCGCAAGAGAAATATAAATATAACGAATATATTCCATTCAATTATATAGACACAATACAAATATAATTGAATGAAAGCGCTCTGAATTCAACGTTACACGTGAAAGATATATACCTTCACCAGAAAACGTGACAAATACGTTCTTTTCCGGACGATGTCCGCATGCGTCAGCAGCCAGGTCAAAATGGGTTGAATAGTTTCAAGGTCGCCCCGAATCAAGCCTTGCCTGGACAAACCAAATGGTCAAGTTAATCAAAAATCAATCGTGAAACACCTGGGTTAAAACGATTCTCATATCTCCATTGAAAAAAGAAAAAAAACAGGATCGTACCTAAAGCTTATAGGATCCATCTGAGGCTGATAATTGACCACACGCAGAACATTCAAAATATGAATGGCGATCTCCTCGGGTGTCTCGTTCCTGGCATCGGCGTTCGCGTTTTGGCCTTGTATGTTGACCAACACGTCTCTCAGCACCTGCAAAGAACGAATCATCAGTGGAAGGATCGCGAGAGCGTACACCGTTGGACTCGTGACGCTTACGTGCAACAGCTCCTCGGGGCTCAGAGAATTGAAGTAAATGATATTGTAATTACGACCCAGCAACTTGTTCACCTCCGACACAATGAACTTCATGCTCTCCTTCATGATCGCGACGATCTCTCTGTGCAACGGCGTTCGCGAGATACGACAAACTCAACTAAAACAAAACGACTTCGCTCTTTGTTATTGCGAACCGTAGCCCTGGCAACGAGCACCAGCCACCCCTTTCGAACCGTGCACGAGCCGCTCATTAGCCAAATCAGTCGAATCGACGGAACACAAAAAGCAAAGGAAACTCTCGTAACGGTTACACACCGATTTCCCTTTAAATAACAATTCAAATCATTGCAGAACGTGTTTTACTTCAGCGTTACAGGTGTGGCTTTAAGGGAGGACACCTGGACTAAATATAGGTGAACTTTAACAATTCTTTTACTAACCCTTTGCACTGGTGACTCTCGCTCACCGCCTGATTTTACACGGTGAAACTATAAAATTTGATATTTAACACATTGTGTATCGGATAATTTTCAAAAAACCAAATCGTGCGTAGAGAAATTCATTAGAAAGAAAATTTAGTAGAAAAACTCAGATATCATATTGTTATGAAATACATTTTAAATAGATAATGAATTCGAATGAAATTTTATATTTTTTCCAATGCTATGGTAATTAGCGAAGCCGCTAAGTGTCTTTATATTAAAACGAGATTTCTCGTTACCGGTACGCAATGTGTTAATATCGTACCTTGTACAACTAATCGATTTGAGAAATACTAAAATAAAATAGCTTTGTTCCTCGATGTACTTCTTTCCAAATTAGTTTCACAAAATGTCGCCTTTCTCATCGGAAAATGTTCAAATATTTCTAATGAAAAACTTCCGAGTGCAAAGGGTTAACACGTTAAGCGCCATGTCAGTCACCGGTGACTGACGCTTCTGAATGACTGAAAAACAATCGTAACATACAAGACAACCGATGCGAAATAAAAATGTTTAATAAGGCAACTAAGTTGATAACAGTGTAACGCAAACGTTGCAACG